TCTCTCTCCAGCAAGTATACACACTCTATGGCAAAAAAAATCTAAATAAAAATATAAAATAAATGAAAATACCTAAAAATCCAGGCTCTACAACATATATGGTGCAATTTGGGAGTCCAGAAACAGATCGCATATGGACATCTTAATTTTTGCTTAAGGAAAGCATGTGCACAAGAATTGGATTAAAGGAGAGAGGTGAGATACTAAAGAAAAAACTAAAAAAGCCCCCCCACAAAAAAAATTCTATCTTTCATTACCCTTTGGAAAGACAAAACTTAAACATGTACACTTCTGGAAAAAGTTTAAGGGATTTATAACACTGCAGGGATTGGATATTCTTGCCGTTTCTTTTATTTTTCTTTTTAATGCCAGAGGGCATGGGAGAAGAGAGAAAGTGTGTGAGAGAAAGAGAAAAATAGCACAAACCCTCCAGGGCCTGGTCACATTGCCATCCTTTTTCCTCTAGTGTGGAGAGCAGTCAATCTGAAAACATGTGATTAAAACATGCAGTAGAAATATGTCTATAGGCCATATATATATTTTTAATTAAAAAAATTATTTTAGAGGTTTTTGCTACAGGGTATCTCTGCTCGCCAGAAAGACAGAGAGAGATAGAGAGACAGAAAGCAAGAAATCCCCCCCAGGGGGGATGGCCATGCCGCAATTCCTTCTCCTCCATTCTCCTCTTGGGATCTTGGGCATGCATGAACATGTGCCTGGCATGAGTTTTAGTCGAACCACGGTTGACTACATGGGAGTTCAGCAACATAGCCATTACGCTAACTGCTGGTCCCTAGGCCGCATGTTTTAATCACGTTTTTAGATTGGCTGCTCTCCACATATCCCCCTTTTTGTTTTAATCACATATTTTCAAATGAACTATTCTCCACACTCTAGTTCTCCATCTCATTAGTAGCTTGGGCGTGTTTGGGTGGACCCTACATGGCTCTCAAGCCTCTGAGGCTGGGACTTGAATCTTGGTTTGCCATATGGAATTGGCTTCCTCTGTGAAACACTTGACCTCTGAGCTACACAGCCAGCCCAAGAGTCAGTTATTCTAGAATTTCAAATATGAAGCAGATAGAATGGGAGAAAAAAGATCATGCTCTGTACATCTGACATTTATCTGCAGAACTCTTTGTCCTAATAAATTGTCACATAGGAGTCCAATAAAGAAAGCAGGACAAAGTAGAAAAACCTTCTGGCGGAAGCATGAACAGTAGTAATGGAAGAGAAAGAAGGGGAATGACTTGCCATCCAGTAACATGCAGAAGGATCTCCAAATGAGTTTAAAAATTACCAATTGATTTTCTTTTTTTTCTCTTTCTTTTCTTTTCTTTTTTTTTTTGAGAGGTTTTTGCCATAGAGCACATGCACTCACCAGAAAGAAAGAGACAGAAAGCAAGAAATCACCCCCAGGGGGGATGGCCACAACGCAATCCCTTCTCCTCCATTCTCCTCTTGGGATCTTGGGCACCCACAGCATGAGTTTAAGCCATAGGGACTCAAACCGCGGTCAACTACATGGGCGTCCAACGACATAGCCATTATGCCAACTGCGGGTCCCATGAACTGATTTTCTGTCATTTGAAACAAAATTTGTTTTATAACTACTTATTTATTTTTTTATTTTTAAAAATTGACCAGAGAGGGACACAGAGAGACTGAGTGAGAAGGCAAGCTTCCAGGTCCAGGACTCAAACCACAGTTGGCCATGTGGGAGTCCAGCACCTCTAACTCCCATGCCACCTGACAGCTCTGGAACAAAAATAATTTTTTTTTAGGTTTTTGCCTTAGGGTGCATATACTTGTCAGAGAGAAAGAATAAGATAGAAACAATGAGAGGTAAAGTGAGAAATCACCTTCCAAAGGGCGTTGGCCATGCCATAATTCCCTTCTCCTCCATTATCCTCCCAGAATCTTGGGCATGGATGCACACCTGCCCCGTGTGCGTTTCAAGCCATCAGGTCAGGGACTCGAACTGTGGTCAGCCATGTGGGCAATCATATAACTACTAGCGACATAACTACTACACCATCTGCTGGACCCCAAAATGTTTTTTCTTTGCCATCAAATATATTTCCAAGTCATTTATACATCAAAGTATCCACTACCTTTTCTATTATAGTCTAGTAGAAATACAAATTTATTCCAATCTGGACACTCTCCCCCCGGGGAGGGGGGGTGATTTCTCGCTTTCTGTCTCTCTGTCTTTCTGGTGAGCACACACGCCCTATAGCAAGAAAAAAGAAAAGAAAAGAAAAGAAAACCTCTCCCCCCAAAAGAGAAATATATAAGCGGGGCCGGTAGGTGGTGTGATAGTTAAGGCACTGGATTCCCACATGGCCAACCACAATTTGAGTTCCGAAACTGGTAGCTTCCTTTTTCACTTTCCCTTTCTCTTTCTTGATCTTGCTCTGGTCAAAAAATAATAATAATAATAACAAGAACAACAATAACAAATGTAAACAAATAAATACGTCTTAAAAAAGAAAAAATATATAACTAATAGGCCAGCAGGTGGCATAATAGTTGTGCTGGACTCCCACATGGCCAACTGCGGTTCAAGTTCCAAACCTGGCAGCCCCCAAATCAAACAAATAAATAGGGGTCAGCATTTGGCATGGTGGATGGGGCACTGGATTCCCACATGACTGACCATGTTTCAAGTCCTAGAGTTGGCAGCTTGCTTTCTCTCTCTCTGTCTCTCTTTGGTGAGCACATGTGCTCTGTAGAAAAATTGAAATAGTAATAAATGAAATTAAAATATAGTTCTTTAAAAAATGTTAAATTTCAGAAATAATTTTTAGAAATATATAACTGAAATGACTGAAGAGAAAATTATAATTAATTCAAGGTATACAAATTTAGCAGTTGAATTAATGGACTAGGCTATAAGTTATCACTACATTATCTATAGAGATAATGGAAGTAAAATAATATTTCATCTACTTAGGGGATCAAGTTTAAAAAAATTTTTTTGAAAGATTTTTTTCTATAGGGCACATGCACTCACCAGAGAAACAGAGAGACAGAAAACGAGAAATCACTCCCACCAGGGGATGGCCACACCACAATCCCTTCTCCTCCATTCTCCTCTTGGAATTTTGGGCACACACCCAAATTCATCCAGTATGAGTTTCGAGCCACCGAGTCCAGGATTCAAACTGAGGTCAACTACCGGGGAGTCCAGAACCTTAACCACTATGCCACCTGTTGGTTCAGGAATCAAACTTTTAAAGTTGCCTCATGTTCTCCACATGAGCTACTGATACATATTTCATGTGCTAGTTAATGATTACTTTTAGGGTCAGCCAGTGGCATGGTGATTAGCCACTGGATCTCACATGGCTGACTGTAGTTTGAATCCCAAACCCAGCAGCTTGAGAAACATGCTAAAAGGGACCAGCAGATGGTGTAATGATTACATCGCTAGACTCACATGTAGCAGATTGCAGTTTGAATCCTGGACCTGGTGGCTTAAAACTCACACCAGGCATTTGTGTGTGCGTGCCCAAGATCTTGAGAGGAGAATGGAGGAGAAGGGATTGCGACATGGCTATTCCCCCTGGGAGGTGACTGCTCGCTTTCTGTCTCTCCATCTCTCTCTGTTTCTCCAGGGAATGCACATGCCTGATAGCAAATATCTCTCTGTGAAAAAAAAAAAAGAAAAAGAAAAACATGCTGGGCATATGCATGTGTATGCCCACAATTCTGAAAGGAAAGTGGAGGAAAAGGGATTGAGGCACAGTTATCCCTTGTGAGGGGTTATTTTTCACTTTCCCTCTCTTGTTCTCTTTTAAAAATCTTATTTAATTTTATTTAAATTTATTCATTCATTTATTTTAATTTGACCAGAGAGAGAGAAAGTGAGAAAGCAAGTCTACAGGTCCAGGACTTGAACCATGGTCAGCCATGGGAGTGTCCAGCGCTCTGCTAGTCCTCTCCCCCTTTTTATCTCTTTCCCTTTTCTGTTCTTGGCAATGCATGTATCCCACAGCAAAATTTAAAAAAAGAAAAAAAAGATTACTTTTATGTATTCATTAAAGCAAATCTTCTATGGACTGTATAGGTAACTGTGCCAAACTAGATTTGGTTTTGAACTATACTCTAACATAATATAAGAACTAGAACCTAGAAGGAAATTCAGAAATACAACATTTTTACATTTTACAGGTGAGGAAACATCTTGGCAAGTTTCTTTCTTTCTTTCTTTCTTTCTTTCTTTCTTTCTTTCTTTCTTTCTTTCTTTTCTTTTAGTTTGGTACAGAATGGCCATACCATAATACTTTTTCCTCCATGCTCCTTTCAGAATTTTGGGCATACACACACATGCAACTAACGTTTTTCTCAAGCTGCCAGGTCTAGGACTTGAACCACGCAGCAGGCCATGTGGGATCCAACTGCCTCAACCACCATGCCATCTGCTGGCTCACATCTTGACAGTTTTCTAAACTCATTCACTACTCTGTAATAAGACACTCTTCCTTGAATCTAACTCTTCCACCTGTGTTGTGAATCTCATTTTTCTCCTGCCTCTTAGAAAAATTGCTCCATCAACTGGCTCTCTTCTCCCATATCTCAGCCATTTCTCTGTTTCATTTACAACCATTCTTAGCTTAAAAAGATTCCTTCTGGGGCTGGGAGTGGAATGGTGGCTAAAGTGTTGAACTTTCAGATGGCCACCTGTGGTTCAAGTCCCAGACCTGGGGCTTGCTTTCTCACTTTCTTCTCTCTCTCTGTGTCTCTTTCTAGTCAAATTAAAAGATAGCAATAAATAAATTTTTGAAAAAAAAAATCCTTATTGATCCAGTCACAGTGGCACAAGTGAGAAGCTCTGCTGCATGATGGCTGGAGCTGCATGGAATGTCCTGATTCAGTTCCCAGCCCAACCCAGGCAGGCCAGGCCTGAGGGCATGTGCCTGTGGCTCACAGCTGACTAGGAGGCTGGGGCAGAGAGGACTGCAACCTGCCAAAACCCTGTAAATACCTCTCTTGCATACTCTCTCAAAAAACAACAAAAAAGTCCTTTTTACATATTTTTCAAACTCTGACCTTTTTTTTTTGGGGGGGGAGAGATTTTCACTGTAGGGCGCGTGCGCTCGCCAGACAGACAGAGAGAGACATAGAGACAGAAAGCGAGAAATCACCCCCCAGGGGGGATGGTCACGCCGCAATCCCTTCTCCTCCATTCTCCTCTCGGAATCTTGGGCACGCACGCACACGCGCCCGGCATGAGTTTTAAGCCACCGGGTCCGGGACACGAACCGCAGTCGACTACGTAGGAGTCCAGTGACATAGCCATTACGCTAACTGCTGGTTCCCAAACTCTGACCTTTTTTTGTCCTTTTCAAAGCCAAGATGTTTTTATTGGCAAAATGTCCCCAAACATCCTCATTACTACAAGCGTTTAGTCTTTATCTTTGACATCCTATCAG